AAAAGAAATAAAACATGGGATGGATGAAAAATTCATAATTTTCAACAATGGAGCATTTTTAGAAATCATAATTTTACAACAAAATATAAATTTTGTACACAAAATATCAAACAAAACATGCATATAATTAAATTACCCTGTGCAAATATCTTCAAAATATATATTTCAACACAATATTGCAAAAATTCAACGGTTTCAAGTTCTGCATAATTATTGCTATATAGCTGAGAAATTTAAAAATGGGTGATAAAATATTATTTATGCTTCCAAAAATGGAGATTTTTTAATGCAACCCGAAAAAATCGATTAAAATAATATTTTCATGTATTTTATGGCTCAAATAATCCGATTTAAAAAATCAACTAAAACCGACTATTTTGGCAAAAACCAGCTAAAAAGGCGACTAAATTTATGTTAAATCAACTAAAAATAGCCGACTTTTTGACCCCTAAAAACCGACTAAAATGCAGGAGCCTATGAATAATCTGAAAATTAAGTTTATTAAATAAATATCGCATTAAATGTAAATGTGTTCGAAAATCTCACAGATTTGCAAAAGGTCACCTACAGCAATTTAGGAAGTCGTGATTCCGCATTAAAATTCATTTGTCTGTCTGTCGAGGGCGAGAGAGCGTTTGTTTGAAAAGGGCAACACGTTAGAAATTCCTCCCTTGAGAGGACGTGCTTGCGAAAAAGCAGCGGCGAGAAGAGTGCGGTCGGCGTGTCGGTCTGGCTGCTGGAAAGAGAGGCCCCGCGACCACTGCAATTCAAATAAGCGGCAGAGGAGCGAATGAAAATTTGATCAAACCTCGGCAAAAATGAAACGCTCAGGTGAAAAGTACGTGAGGGCGCGAGGCAAAGTTCTCTCCACACGTAGACGCTTTGTATTCGGCGAGAGAGAGAAAGAGCGGCGCACCCTGCTTTTAAAACCATAAATTTTAGAGCAGCGCCTCTTTATTTGCATTTACCTCCCGGGACACAATGTGCCTAGCGCTCTCGGCTGGAAAAGAAAATAATAAAATGTATGGCGCGGGCGGGTGGTTCACTCTCTCTCTCGCGAGCCAAATTGAATTTCGTCATCCGTGCAGCGCCGCTGTTTGTTGTTCACCATCGTTTGTTGGCAACGACGAGCAGTTGTTGCTTTTTCGCATGTGTGTCGTCTCAGCTTCCATCGTTTTCTCTCAACTGGCTGTTTTATGACGAGACACACAGCACGACCGCTCTTATCTGCGCTCCATCCGCCGAGGTTACGTGCGCAATAACGCACACGCAGCGTTTTCCACGTGTTTTCCCAAGAAAATGGAATTTCCTTTGCTTGTGCCGAAAGCGTTGTTTTATTAGATCACGCAGATAATGCTAAACAATAAAATCATGGAATGAAAAGAGACGGCAAAAAGCTATTAAATTGACCCGATATAACTTTCTAACAAAACCTACATTAAATAAAAACCAGAATATATAAAAGTTTAATTGGAAAATTCACTGATTTTGTTCGTTTGTTTGTTTGTTTGTGCAATTTATATGAATTATTTTCAGCTGAAATATACACTAAAAATGGAATATAAGTGATAAAATAAATAAATATAAAACACCGAATACCTTCAGAGTAATTATAAAGAATAAATAGATCAGGTCAGTGTTTTAACAAGAAAATTTACCAAAAATATTCAAGTATTAAAAATAATTGATGTTAAAATAAATTAAATTCTAAAATAAACATTAAAAATGAAAATATGAAAAAAAAATTATTGAATATTAAAATATTTTTTTTTTAATTATTATTTTATACATAATAAACTGGGTTGCTGAATATTTGACTAGAAATAAATTCTTTTAAAAAAAATATATAGATTATTATTTAGGTTAAAATAAACCCTTATGTAATCTAATAAAGTGAGCAACAGTGAATTTTCCATCGAATATATTGATTATGTATTATACCTTTTTAAATTAAAAAATGTGTATTTTGGTCATTCTTACAATTAATGCATTTTTGAAAATTCTTAGCAAATAGGTTAAAGATGATCAACCATTTTTCCCATTCCTAAATTACTTCACAATTGCGTTCTTGGGCAAGGAAGATTTGAGATTCGCTACAACTAGATTAAATGATCTCTACGTAATGACTGTAGGATTACAGTAGAAGAAACCCCTGAAATTAAGATTTTTTCACCAATGGAAAACGAAATAATGCTTGCATCAGTCTCAGGAAGCAGGAAGCATTTGGATGAGGGCAAGAGCAGTTGAAACCAGCATTTTTTTTTTTTTAATTTCTCCTCGCCGGCTTTCTCTTGCCGCGCATTGTTTGCGCACTTGTTGTTGTTTTTTTTTTTAATTAGAACGACTGTGGCTGACTGACTGCACGCAGCCGGGCAACCATTTCGCCGACTGCTTTTTGGTCTCCGGAAAGGCACGTGGGGCAATGTCAAAAGCACTTTAATTGCGGACTTGGTGTAATAAACACCCTCCAGTGGATTATGTGAAATGCGACTTCCAAAAAGTTGCACGCAAAGTGAGCCGCCAGCAACCGGCGTGTTCCACTCACAAAACACCGCACAAGTGCCCCCTTGGTGTACTTTTAATTGACAGCAGTTGACTCTGGCGTGCGTTTTTCCGGTTTTTATTTGAACGGAGGTGTTCGACCGGAAAATTCAGTAGGACGTGAGTTATTAATTTGGAACCCACAAACAGCAATTAACGAATTGGCTTTGTATATGTATAAAGTAAAATTTTGACAAAAAAAAAGTATTTAATAGGCTATGAAAGGGGAGCAAGAATAACTCACAATCAGTGTAATTAACAAAAATAAGTTTCATGGTTTTATAAATTTTACTTAAATGGTTGAGTCTTACTGTCCTGAGGAATTTCATTAGTTTTCACTGAAATTTTAGTTCTGTTGTAATTAAAAGCTTACAGAGAATAAATATTTGTAATTTTTAAATATTGTATTTTCATCAAAATTAAATTAAAAAAAGCTAAATTGTAAATGAAAGTAAGATATAAAATAATTTTTAAATAAAGTATAACATTTTTAATTAAATGCAGCCCCAGCCACAAAGGCCTCGTGGTAGGCGCGCAGAGCGACTTTGCGCGGCACTGCCGCGAAGCTTCACGAGTGACGTAACTGGGGAAGGAAAAACCATGCCGCTCCCAGCTGCTCCCATCTAAATGCATTGTTTTGCACTCTTTGCCGCGTTTTTCGGTCAAATATTGTCGATTCAAGGCGGTTTTGAACATAATCTGCAGGTGTCAGACTAGTTCGGAACCTAGGGAAGCTTTGGCAACGAAGAAAAAGCATCTCAAATCAGCTGGAAGCACGAAAAGCCACGAAAATACGGCCAATATCTCCGTGGCGGCGAAGTTGCGGCTCAAAAAAGCAGCGGATAACTCGGATTTTTTACGTTTTGTGAGTCGATATGTGCTTCAGTGCCGGGATGTCAACAAATTAAGTCGTTTCTGATCATATTTGTGCATGTCCGATTGTTTTTTGTGAGAGAAAAGCGGAGACGAGTTTAGCAACCGGACAAGTTGTCCCACGGAATTAACCAATATCTCGCTCTGATTCAATGTTTTAGAATTTTGGCGATTGAAAAGTTTATATTTTTAGAATAATTAAAGCATGAGGAAAATCGCTGTGTTATTTATTTTTTAATCCGAGCAGCCGTTGTCTCGCTATGAGCATAATTACGCGGCGGCCACTGCTTTGTTGCTTCGCTCGGCTCTCTCTCGCTCGAGTCGCCCGACTGCTGCACTCGCGGGTGGAGAGCGGCGCGCTCGATTAATTAGACGTTTGCGCGAATTTTTTATTTTATTAGTAAGCGTTGAGATAAATCGTTCAAATTTTCAGCATTGGTAGCAAACTAACTGAATTAATTTTTTATTTTTTATTCTTAAAAAAATATTTATCTGGAGCAAAGTTATTAATGTTTCCGCGAGAATTTTGTTCTTTTAATTTTTAAATTAGACAAAAAATTTTAAAAGTACAAACCCTAACAGAAAATTGTAGCTAATTAAATTCTCTACAATTTACTTTGCATTCGTTTTGTTGTCAAAATTTTTTTAATTTACCAACGGGATGACCAAAGTCAAAACATTACTTTTTCTCATTGAAATAAATTTTTTAGATTTTTTCTGAGATAGCCAATCGATTGGAAATTTAATTTTGATTTAAGAACTAAAATTTCATCACAATATGTTGAGCCGTTTAGAAATAAGAGCGTCTGAACTAAAACCTGCTAATCAGCCTCGACGGCAGTTTTAGGGGGCATCAGTTAGTACTTTGTGATTTCTAAACGGCTCAACATATTGTGATGAAATTTTAGTTCTTAAATCAAAATTAAATTTCCAATCGATTGGCTATCTCAGAAAAAATCTAAAAAATTTATTTCAATGAGAAAAAGTAATGTTTTGACTTTGGTCATCCCGTTGGTAAATTAAAAAAATTTTGACAACAAAACGAATGCAAAGTAAATTGTAGAGAATTTAATTAGCTACAATTTTCTGTTAGGGTTTGTACTTTTAAAATTTTTTGTCTAATTTAAAAATTAAAAGAACAAAATTCTCGCGGAAACATTAATAACTTTGCTCCAGATAAATATTTTTTTAAGAATAAAAAATAAAAAATTAATTCAGTTAGTTTGCTACCAATGCTGAAAATTTGAACGATTTATCTCAACGCTTACTAATAAAATAAAAAATTCGCGCAAACGTCTAATTAATCGAGCGCGCCGCTCTCCACCCGCGAGTGCAGCAGTCGGGCGACTCGAGCGAGAGAGAGCCGAGCGAAGCAACAAAGCAGTGGCCGCCGCGTAATTATGCTCATAGCGAGACAACGGCTGCTCGGATTAAAAAATAAATAACACAGCGATTTTCCTCATGCTTTAATTATTCTAAAAATATAAACTTTTCAATCGCCAAAATTCTAAAACATTGAATCAGAGCGAGATATTGGTTAATTCCGTGGGACAACTTGTCCGGTTGCTAAACTCGTCTCCGCTTTTCTCTCACAAAAAACAATCGGACATGCACAAATATGATCAGAAACGACTTAATTTGTTGACATCCCGGCACTGAAGCACATATCGACTCACAAAACGTAAAAAATCCGAGTTATCCGCTGCTTTTTTGAGCCGCAACTTCGCCGCCACGGAGATATTGGCCGTATTTTCGTGGCTTTTCGTGCTTCCAGCTGATTTGAGATGCTTTTTCTTCGTTGCCAAAGCTTCCCTAGGTTCCGAACTAGTCTGACACCTGCAGATTATGTTCAAAACCGCCTTGAATCGACAATATTTGACCGAAAAACGCGGCAAAGAGTGCAAAACAATGCATTTAGATGGGAGCAGCTGGGAGCGGCATGGTTTTTCCTTCCCCAGTTACGTCACTGGGAAAGCAACAGCAGCGCCAGCAAAACTCGCTCTCCCCCACCACGTCTCCTGCTCATGCGTGGCTGGGTCTGATTAAATGTGCCTTTTTTTATTGCAATAAATTTGATGATTCGCTAAATTTTTTTTCTAAAAAAAGCTGGGTAAAAAATTAGTTGCAATTTAAGTGTCTTTGTTCACATCAAGGCAATCTCCGCCCACAAAGAGATCATTCAAATATTCAAAAATTATGAGCAATCAAAACTACAAACATTTGAGCGGGTAAAAATATAGATAAATTATTTTGCAAAGCTTTTTTTTCCGTTATCCTGACATTTTCAAAAACGTAACTATTGCTTTGTTGCACCAATTTTATCTTACGAGAGACACTCAATGAATTTTTGCTAAATTTCTGTTTCAGGTGGCTAGACCAGTATGAAGGGCCGTTTCGGGCCCTTAACAGTGGTGCTGGTCCTGTGCAGCTGGGTGGTGACCCGAGCAGGCGACGACAGGGCGCATGACAGACTGGCTGTTGTGCGAAGACTGCTCGAGGAGGTGCCCTTAATTGATGGGTGAGTGTGCGTCCTGATAAATTAATGCGTCGCCTTCAAACTGCTTTCGCTGCTCGCAAAGAGAGATTCCCGTTCGAATGGATCTTCATTCAATTATCCTTGGCCAGATCAGTCAAGAAATAGAGACGAGGGCGTGCGGAAAGCCTCCTGTTGCGAATGGGATCCAATTTCAATTAATCCAAATTGTTTCCCGGAGCAACAAAATCTGCCCGAGAAATAAAACCTGGCTCGAAACAATCTGCTTGCCAGCGAAGGGAGTAACTTGACTCGGGTGTAGTAGTTTAATGTAATAAGACCTTCACGGTTAAATTATTTACTGTCTTAATTTTGTACCTCCTGCTAATAAATTAATTTATATTCCTCGATTGCTGATTTGCGGCAAGGAATATTTTCTTTACGTTATTTGAAATTTATTTTCAGAAAAGTTTTCTTATTCAGAGTTTCAAAATTACAGCAAATAAGATGGATTGAAAACATCTTTTTTTTATCAAAGCGTCAAGAAAGAAAACATTTCAAAAATATTCACCTTCTGTTGAAAAAGGGACAAGAAAATCAATTCTCTAAAGAAAGTTTTCGCTTGGAAACTCGAACTCTCAACTGCGTAATCTGTGACAAGTCAGTCTCTTACGTCATGCGCCATTTTCAATTGGCAAAAATGAGAGCAAATAGAAAAAAAGGCACGAGGAGAGAAATCAGTTGCAGAGTAGTCGCGGTGACAATTCAATCTCTTTCCTTTTTTTCCTTTTTTTATTTTTTGTTCATCTCTCTGTTATCCTTGGCGTGCAAGAGGACAAAATTTAATATGAAATCAATATGCGGCAGATCAAAATTCTGCATACATTTGGAGCGAGAGAGTCTTTCTCTCTCTCTCTCTTTCCACTGCGGTTCTACATCAAGTATGCGCCGAAAACATTATTCAAGCCAATCTGACAAACGCAGCCCTTTCTATTAATACAAATTCCAGCGACAGCAGCTCGAGCTGCTATTGGATTCGCATTATTTACGATTGCTGAATTGATTTTCGCATTGAGCTGACGTACATTTTCGCTTGAAGTTTTAAAAGCCTGTTTTTGATGTTGCGCTGGAGCGTGTGCGGTTGAATTTAATTACTGAAAATTAATTTGGCTAAAACACAGAGAAATGCCTTATCGATCCTTTCCTTTGTTGTGGCAAATGATTTAAATTGGCCTAAATTTGCCGTTCAACATCATAGCTAAATAAACAAATAAAACATGATAATTGGAAATACACCCTTTCATGAAAAATTTAATTTAAGAGCAGGATTTTTTTCTTTTTCTTAAACAATAAAAACTCACAAAACCCATCGAGCAAAAGCCGATTTTAAATTCAAATCACTATTTCAATAAACACTTTACTCTTTTAATTTAAATTGGGCTTTTTTCTTGGATGGGTTTTTGAGACATACAATAAAATAAATAGAATCAAACTTTTTTAGAACTTTAAATTTATAATCATTAGATCTGGATACAATAAATGACAGGAACCAACCAAATTTTTTACTTGCTTCAATTTTCAGTCAAATAATTTTTTAGAAATGCCAAATTTTTTATTAAATTAAAGAGAAATCATCTCTAGATATTTTCATATTGAAGCTTAAAAAAAAACGGCCATTTCTCCGTCCAAAATGTTTCCAGTCGTGCGAGCACCTAATTCCGCGAAAAAAAGATGTCAATCTGCCAGTGACACAAACAGCCACCGATCCATAAAGGCAATTTATGTTCCTATCTCTCCTCCTCGAGCCATAAAAGTTACGATGTCGCGAATTAATTTCGCCATAGTGCTGCCGAGCACGCCATTCGCATTCAATCAATATATTTATGGCTGTACCTTTGCCGCATTTCTGTGAGTGTGTGTTTTCCTATCATGCGTTTTTAATCTTTCCCGGCTGGCTTTAATATATAAAAAAATATATTATTCGACTTTCAGAGCCATAAATTATTCGGCGAGCAAAAAAGCTCCGGCTCCATATTTCAATTTTTTTCTCCGAGGCCGCCCGCACATTAGGTGGATGTTGATTTCGGGCGCGCGTACAAACTTACCCGCGCTCGCACTTATTTCCATCCCCAAGCCAACGCACGCACCTCTCAAAAAACGTTGTTTATAGACGCGCCCCTGAAAAATAAATTCCTTGAAGAAAAACACACCGCACGGTATTTGCTCTGCATACTCGAACACAACATTTGCCGGGCAGGAAAACATCGCGAATGCCTTTTCCAAAGAATGTTTTATTTCTGCCCGACTGAGATTTCACTTTGTTTCCAGGCACAATGACCTTCCCTGGAATATTCGCAAGTACCTTCGAAACCAGCTCCAAGATTTCCAATTCTCGGAAGATTTACGACAGACTGAGCCGTGGTCCAGGAGTGTCTGGTCACACACGGACCTCTTTAGATTACGACAGGGCATGGTCGGAGCTCAGGTAATTAAAATCAGCAAAATTACAATATTATAAATAATATTTAGATAAAATGTAAAAAATTAATAATTATTTTCCATTTAACAAACTGTCTAATTTATTAAAAAATTTTGCACGTGACATTTAATTTGTAAGCGGCTCAATAAAGTAAATTTTCCTCCTTTCTTTTCGCGTTTTCAGCTCAAATTTTAATTTGGCAATCAGCTTTTCCGGCTTCATTTGCAAATCACATTATTTCTTGTAAAAATTTGATGCCTTCAATTCAGCAGCTTCATCTTCCTTTACATAATTTTCTTCTTCCTTTTAAAGTGTAATATCATTGATCTGCGGGCGAGCCGTGTCCAAATTTAATCACCGCCGCCACCGCTGTCACGCAAAGTCCGCCTTTTAATTGCTCGCCGCCAAACTTGCGATTCAATCGCGAGCAAACTTTCCCTCCAAAGCAGGAGGCAAACTTGGGCAGCCATCGATTAAATTTGCGACACACTCCTCCTTGCGAAATTTGCGCGCTTTTTATTAATACACGGGGCTGCTGAATGTTTTAATTGCACGTGCGCGGCCAAGTTTTGTCGCAACATCTCCGGTACCTGCGGCGTTTTGTGTTTGAACTTTCGGTGCAAAAGTTTACCGGAGAGAAATTAATTTCGGCGGGAAACACAAGGTGGAGAGAGCGCCGGTGACATTATTATTATCATCACCGCAGCGTGGCCGCCGAAATTATTTTAAACAACAACGGAGCAACTTGACTCGTGCAAAATTAAAGGGTTAAAAAATTTATGACGACCCTCTTTGTATTAAGGCCTGCGGCAAAAGTTTACTCGAGGGGGTTTTGTGTTTCAGTTCTGGTCAGCTTACGCGCCGTGCAGCTCGCAGTACCTGGATTCCGTTCAGCTGACCCTGGAGCAAATTGATGTGATCAGGAGACTGATAGCACAATACCCTCAGCACATGCAGTTTGTCACCACGGCCGACGGTAACTCCCCATTCCAGAGCCCTCTGTTCCTCCCACGAGGGACATTGTTTGGGTTGGGGCGGGTGTGATGATGAAGGGTGCATGATAATCGACAAATTACTATATACAATTGGAATTCTGTTTTTTTTTTTTTTTTTTTTTTTAAAGAAATTGACACTTGAAGAGATGATCATGGAAATGAAGAGATCGGGGATTTTTCCTCCAAGCAAAAATTGTTTTTAATCAAAAACAAGACCCTATTTCATGATCACGAAAAATATTAAAAAAAATCCGAGCAAATTGAATTTTAATAAAAAAATCTTAATCTTTCAATTTGCTCTTATTTGTTTTATTTTTTATTGCTCATGAAATTGGGTCGCAGACTGTAACCGAGAAACTGGTAGAGCCGTCTTTTTTGTGAATAAAAACATTTTTTATAACGAGGAAATGCCCGAGTTCTTCATTTCCTTGATTTTTTTTTAATATATGCACATTTTTATTTTAAAAATGAAAATAAACTTTGGGAAGTACAATAACAAAAGCGTTTTTGACGCTATTTTGAATTCACATTATATACATTTTAAATTCAATTTGAAAAATAACATCTAGAATTTTAAATATATAAATTATAAAAATTACCATTCAAATGTAAATAATGATTGCGAATGTGAAAAATGTGGGAGTAAAATTAACTTGTATCATTTTAGTGAATGCCGTAAAAATAATTTAAGCTCGTCTGAAGCTGCGAGAATGAATTATAAATAATTAATTGTACGTTGAAAAGTTGTACACATTTTGTGTTTAATAAATTTCTATATAAAAGAATTTTAAATACTTAAATAAGTCTCTTTCGGCGTTAAACATGTCAACAATATGAGAATATTTTTACGTGATGCAAAATCTGTTTTAATTTTTAATAAATTAAATTGAGTATTATCAGTGAAGGGTTAGATAAACTGAAAACCCCAACTCCTTTAGGGTTAAGAATGCGTGTCCATTATTAACTTTGGCGTTTGATGATGCTTATCTTGGCTAATTTTGCAGAGGTTGTGGAGGCCCACCGTGCCCGCAAAGTGGCCAGCCTCATCGGGGTGGAAGGTGGCCACGCCATCGGCACGAGTCTTGCGGTGCTGCGGGTCCTCTACCGGCTAGGGGCGCGATATCTCACACTCACGCATACCTGTAGCACTCCTTGGTGAGAACACGACATAAGAGCCGCTTAAAATTAAAACACCTCTCTGCTTCTTAGAAATATAAGCTCTTTTTTTTCCTTACGAGGCGACAAAGTAGTGTCACTTGTAGTCAGGTAATGAAAGTAATGCGTCTCAGATGTGCCACTGGTTGGCTTGATAATAAGCAGAGAGTTCATCCGCGATTATCATCTTTACGACGGCTTTACGACCCTGTGAACAATAAAGCTAACTCTTTCTTCCTCCCTGTTAGGGCAGACTGCTCCAATGTCGATGCACCGGGACAGATTCCAGACCACGGCGGCCTTACTGATTTTGGCAAGGTATGTATAAAATTACCTTTTTTTTCATATATTAATTTTTTTTTGGGTATTTCTTTTGCAAAGAACGAATGCTATTTTCCACAGTGTTCCAAATTGATCAAAAAAACCTTCTAGAAACAAAAGCTGCTGGCATGCATGATCAATCCCAATTGAGCAATTTTCCTTTTTATCACGTCTGCCTTTCTGAATAGAAACAGAGAGAGAGACGCATGCAACTTTATGCCCTATCATAAAATTTATATCTGCCCTTTCAAGAAGAGGTAAAATTTATGAATGCCTAAACGTAAAAGTTGGTCTGAAGCAACAGCTAAAAACGGGCCATTTAACCCTATCAAAGAATGCTGGTTGTTCGTTACTCGCAAAAAGGGGAAAAAAATCTTTGGAAAAGATTCCTCTTCTCTCGGTCTAGACAAAAACAGACTCCTTTTTCACTTGCACTTTTGTTCTTCGCAACCAGCGTAAGTGAGCACCCGCCTGAGCCACGCACCCTTTGCTAGTAAACAAACTCTCTCTTTCTGTCTTTTTGCCACTCAAACTCAAATTAGACTCGACTCAACTGCTTGATCCTGAAAAACATCGCATTTTTTTTGCCCGACGCTGTTTTTATCTGTAAAAGCAGCTGGCCATTAGAAGTTTGATTTAATGTTGCTTTTAAATGTACGATCCTTTTTATTGGCCGAATTCTTATTTGTGCTGATTTTCTTTTAATCATTGTTGATTTTGTTATCATGTTTCTTTTTGCCCGCAGGCCGTGGTGCTGGAAATGAACCGTCTTGGCATGATGGTCGATCTGTCCCACGTTTCCATTCTCACAATGCTGGACGTGCTGCAGGTGACTAAGGCGCCGGTCATCTTCTCGCACTCGGCGGCCCACGCACTTTGCAACAGCTCGAGAAATGTGCCTGACCACGTCCTTCGACTTGTCGTAAGTTAAAAATGAATCAATTGAAAAAAAAATAGATTTAAAGAAACCATTATGTATAAAAAAAATTATTGGCTTATTTTTTAATGTCAAGCAATTATTTTGATTTAAGTCGACTTGCAATTCCGAACTTTTGCAAAGTTTACAAAATTCTCTTTTCATAAGCTGGTCGTTCAAATAAAACCTAACAGCGCCCTTGGAATTAATGTTGCCACACAAAGATTGCGTTTCTTTACATATAAAAGCGCAGCATAACACCCAAGTTTCTATTATAATACTTTCCGAAATGTGGCCAAACATAATCAAACTTGTGCCCACCAACTCTCAAAATTGCAACCGTTGTGCCGAGGCGCGATCAAATTATTCCGCAAGCAGAAAGTTGAAATGGTCCCAGATAAAACTTTTTGAATCAATATTAGTGTCAAGGTGGCATGGGCGAACAAAAGAAATACACTTCTGGTGGCGGAAAATTGAATCTGAATGCGAATCAGCAAAGTTTGCAGCATAGAATGAAAAGACTCGAGCTGCAAATTGACAATGCGCAATGCGATATAAAGATAAAAAAAAAAAATATTTGAGAATAATTCTTGTGGCAACTTAAAAGACACATCCATTCGCATAATAAGCCGTCCCTTGATGAACAAGGCGCGGTGAAATTATCTATCATCATAAAAGTTGTGACACGGCTAAATTCGTATATGGTAGAGAGACAAGCCGTCGCCAACTTAATAGCGACGTTTCATTATTACAACCACCCCTAATTGCGACTACTTAAGATAATGATGCTTGCTCGTCGCTTAGTGTTCATTATTGCCATTTTACTGCAAGGCTCCAGTGCCGTATTTGTCAATGGACCCTGCAGAGCAAAGATTTACTCAAAAATCTAATTAACTCTGAGCTTCATTAATTAAATTTGTAACGCAGATTGCGTTCTAACAATTTATTCCGCAGGGAATAAAGAAAATTTTAATGCTGAAATAAGGCCCAAATTAAATTAATTTAAATTCCATATAACATTTGTTATTTCAGATCTATTGCCAATATATGTAGACATGTTATATTATTCTAATGTAATTTAAAATTGTAATAACCACACACACAAAAAATGTTTAAAAGTAACTGATAATTTGAATAAAAATAAAAATTGCTTTTTTTTCTTGCCCTGCTTTTTGTGCGAATATTTTAAATGTCTGAATAGCTTTGATAACGGCCTTAATTGTTCCTGAATTGAAAGTCGATGAAGTTAATGAGCAGATTATGTATTTCAAAATAACTCTTTTGAGTATTTGCATGGGCCGATTTTCGTGCTATTCACAGCGATACACTCTTTCCCCTGCTTTCATCAAAATCTGTTCATATCGTTCCCGCATAATGTTTTAACATCACAAGCGCCCGCAAATTTCGGGCTCCGTCCTCCAGGTTTTCCTTTGAAGCTGTGTCATGTACAAATTTTGGTCTCTTTGTTTCAGGCTCAAAATAGAGGGATAGTAATGGTGGCCTTTTATACCTACTTTGTAAGCTGTAACGATACTGCCACAATTAGAGATGTAGTAGGTAAGTGAATGAGTGCTGCTCGCCGCTAATTGAATCTGCTCCCCAGTGAATGTCCCTCGGAATTTAAGTTGGGGTTTCTCCGCAATTTTATCAAAATTGCCCTTGCAAACGCACAGACCTACCTTTGTCTCTTCCCCTCCTAGAATAGAAAATAAACCGCAATTTAGTCAAGCGCTCTGAATATCAACAACGGAAACCGCCAATTTCCCCGATCCCACCATTGGTCATTTAAACAAACATTTGCTTATGCTATTAAAAAGAGAACTCTTTGATGAATCATCAAATTATTTTTCTTTGAAATAATCATAGAGAAACCGAAAATAAATTTCATGAATTGTTCCAAATGTATAACAGTTGAGAATTATCAATTTAAAAATATTTAAATTGATAATACGTTACCAGCGGATGAAAAATTCATCTAATTTTTGATATCATTAAAAATATACAAAATATATGTTTGAAGAAGTTGACACTCGAGGAGATGATCATGGGAATGAAGGAAATCGGGCTTGTCCTCGTTGTAAAAAATTTGTTTTATTCAAAATCAAAGCAGTGACGGTCATGGTCTATTTCACCTATTTCACGAGAAAGAAAAAAACAAAAAATCAGCAAATTGAAAAAACACCACACCAAACATTTTAACATAAAACTTAGAATCTTAAAACTAGCAAATTCAATACCAACCTATTTGATGAGCGCTTTTCTTCATTCCCATTAAAATATGTGTAAAAAATATAGAAATGTGCGGTACTTTCATATTTTAAGAAATTGAGAACATTCGATAAAGTTTATTTTTCTTAAAGTGTATTTTGTTTGTGTAAGCTTCATTATATTTCTAGTAAACCCAAAAGCTATCCAGTTGACGGTTGTTGGTTTAAAGCTATCAATAACTCAGACAGAGCGAATCGTTCATTAAACGCGGTTTACGCTGCGTAACCGACCGCACGGCGATTAAAAAGGGGTGAAACGGTTGGGGGTTGCAATGGGCTTTGTTTGTGCTTCGTTCATCCGTTCACTCGCTGCGGAATTGAAAACATGCGGTCGTGTGTGAGTGAACGACATGCGAAACGAGTGCACTGACTGACGGCCTCGCAGCCCTCGGTTAATTTTCTGGCGGTTTGCGCGCTCATCTCTCCTGACTGATGAATTGCCAGATCTGAATTGACTGATGCACTAATGCTACGAATAAGAAGAATGAGTTACTACACTTGAATCAATGAACATTTTGACAGTTTGATGTTGCAAATCAAATACCTGGACTGGTCGACTGGTCCTATGCAAATAAAAATTATATAATTTACGTGAAATTGGTAGGCAAAAGCTTTTTCCTACAGCCATCACATTTAATTTACTTAGACCTGGTATCTTTATTATCAAGAAGTTATTCATGAAAGAATTAGATTATTTATTTCAAACTTATACTTCCCCATTGTTATAATAATTTAAAAAACTTAAAAAAAGAGAAGAAAGTAATTATAGCTCGCAGATGTGTATGCGTTTTAGCCCAAACATCAAGAGAAACTCAGCCGCCACTGGAAATGCACACACCTAAAAAAAATAATAAAAATGCTTACGCTAAGTAAAATAATTTAAAAAAATGGCTATAATTAATTGAATAATAAATATTGCTTAAAATTAAAACAAACTTATTTTAATTTTAGAAGATATATATTTTCTTGCATTAAATTGTCAAAGAACGATTTTTTTTGTACTTGCAGATTTATTCAACTTGCAAAAACCTCAAAAAAAGAAATTAAAAATAGAGCACTTTTAATCTTTTTGATCGTTTTGCACTATAAAAAAACAAACACACTCTTACTTCATCTATAAATTAAATCATTAAATTTTATAGGCTTATTTGTCAAATATTTTTCATACTTCGGTAATACAATCTCAGAAAGAGCTGTGCGCTTGTTTTAATGACGATTACAAACATTTTATAATTATGTATAAATAAATTAATAATTTTAATAGTTGTAAAAGGCTCTCTTCCGCTTTGAGAGGGTTTAATGTCTATAAACAAGTTCACCTTTCACATCTCAAGACGCGAGTGTCGCAAAAATTCTCTCTAAAGCAAAACGCGAGCGAAAGTGCTCCCCTCACTCTCTTGGCGCGCACCTTGAGCATGATCTCGCTCGCGTCTCATCTCCCTACTGGGCATACGCTTAATGGCATGCACGTGAGAGACAAAGCGTTGCACTTGAGGCGGGCATAAATTTCACGTTCGCCTCTTTAAACGGCCTTAGTGCTCCTAAAATCTAAAGCGCTGTTTTTGCAGTTTGTTGAGAAATCTCGAAAATTCAACATGACTCTTTAAGAGCAAAATCAATGCCATTAATAAAAAAATAATAATAATTATCATCATCAAAAACCTGTTCTACAATTTTTTTGTAAAGAAATAAAAAATGTTCTGAATTAAGGCAAAAATATTGTTAATATTGCATGAATTGATAGAGAGGGTAAAAGACAAATGGTTTTGTGCGTTTGCATTCTCCTAGCTCTGTTGTTCCAAAGAGTTTTTCTCTTTTTTTACATACACTATTGCACTCCAACTCCATAGAAAAATAATGACGTTGTTTTGTTGTTGCTGCAAACGTCTGACTTTTACAACTTGTTCCTGCCATGTGAAACTGAAGCGAAATTATTCTTGCAGCGCACATCAATCATATTCGAGACGTGGCTGGAGCCGACCATGTGGGCATAGGCGCCGGCTATGATGGCATCAACTTGTGAGTTTGCACAAACTTTAGCGCCACTTTGAGCGTGCTTTCCTGTCCGTCAGCGAGAAACTAAAAGATTTCGCACCACTGAGCATATTCGTTACTTGTTTCAAAGACCTGCAAAAAAAAAATAATAATATTTTTGATCATTGGAAAAGTTAAACATTATATTAAGCTACTTCCAACAATTTCAGATTATTAAAAATGAATATTGAAAAAAATTAATTGAATTTTCAACTTTTAGGACTCCTCAAGGTCTGGAGGACGTGTCAGGGTATCCTAGGCTTTTCGCTGAGCTGCTGGCCACGAGGCGATGGACTGAATATGACCTTAAGAAATTAGCAGGGCTCAACCTGCTCAGAGTGATGAAAGAAGTTGAGCAGGTAGAAATTAATAAAATTATAGAAATATAAATAAATAGAAAATTTTTAATTCATAAGACAATTGCATTGTTTTGTATATTAAATTATGCTTAAAATTAGAGGTGGTTTATGTATTTCTAAAATATGGACTATGGGTGCCTATTTTGTTGATCATTGCCATTTTTGTTGAATAAAAGACAAACCACGAAAAAAATTTTGTTATAATTTTGGCCTTATAAGCTCACAGGTGCCATAAGCAGATAAAAAATAATAATAATAATAATTTTGGTCCCCCTATATTTTTTAAATGCAAAATTTTTCAAGATGATTTTCTGAAAATGTACGAATGTTGGTCAATTTGAATAGCAAATTTTTTAAATTTATCCTTGCATCCTTAATTTTAATAGAAATAAATGTCGAACATAACATTTTTTGTTTTACAATATATCAATAACAGAAATAAATAGAGTTTTGTATGATTCGTAATAACTGATTCTATTTTTTTTTACAGGTGAGAAATGAGATGCGAGACTCGGGCGTCCAGCCTTCAGAAGACCTAGTTCCAGCGCACGACCTGTACGGAAAAACCTATTGCCGATTTCCAGAAACATGAACTTTGACTCTTGGCGTCTCCAAAATGAGCAGAGGAATTTTGCTGAATTCGCACCCAGTGACAGAGCGCGCAGTGTGAATTAGTGCTGAGAAAGTGAGATAGTGTTCAAAAATTTTAGCCGCGCCAAAACAAAACTGATACATACGCAACCATCGACGCAAATCAACAACCCCAAAAAAACTCAAGAACAGAGAATTTTCACCGAGGAAAGAGGAGCCTTGCGCAGGCTTTTTAAACAAATTTTATTATAGAAAATAAATTTTGACGGAAAATTTGGTTTTTGTTTACATCCAAACATTTTCGCAAATAAAATGTCAGTTGGTTAAACAAAGTGGACATGAAACAAAGAAAAATGTACGCACACGTTGGTTAAAGAATGTTAATTATTATTGACTTGAGAGTATATTTGTATTATATTATGATTGCTGTCGACGCTGAAAGATGCAAGTCGTTGTGTTTGTATAAATTGGAGGAAAGAGGATTTTTTAACAAAAATAAAAATAAAAAGATAAAGCAAACAATGAAAAGTTTTCATTCCGTGTGTTATTTTTAATAAATTGGTAAAAACTAAAAGCCATTAATATAAGTTCAACCAGCTATCCAATGCTTCATATTTTTCTAATATTTTGATTAAAATTAAATAAATTTTAAATAAAACTATCATTGAAAAAATATTTATAAATAGTTGTCAGTGTTGTCATAATTTTGCAAGGGAAATCATTTTTTATTTAAAAAAAAGAAGAGGAAATAAAAAAAATGATACGCTTATATGAGTTTAGAATTTTTCCCTCCTAGCTACCTCAAGGGTGGCGAGTTCTGGAGTTGCCTGAGAGAGGGCAGGGCGTCCTCGATTGAAACCCACCCTTGGCTACCCCCGTAGTCAAAGTTCGCACTCTGGTCGAGGGGTGGTGCAACAATTGGCACAACAGCTTTCGCGGCAATCGAATCTTTACCCAAGATTTTCAACAGAATTGAACAGTGAGAAGTTCCGCATACATTCCATGAAATTATTATTTAACTCATATTTTATTGCATTTTATGGTATAATATAAAGTTAAAAAGCAGAGGCAGATTGGTTTGCGTTAGTAAAAAATAAAGAGGTTATTTTTAGGAACATTTATTATCATTTATCATATTTTATTCAACGATTGAAGCGTAATTTTTGTAATCCGATTTAGAAAATCTATTTACCAAAAGATATGAATTATAAAAATTCGTCTTTGTTAAACTTACAGGCATTCGGGCTGCTTAAATTATTGGACGCTGCTGGTGTCTTTTCTTCTGGTACTCTTCTATGGGCCAAACTTTCCTCTTCTATGGTCTAGCTCTGTAAAATATCATCCAATTAAGGCTAATTAGGTATTCTTAGATCAGATATTTAAAAATGTGAAGAGGGTAAACTCTTAAAGTTTTCACCCCGACTAAGGCGCGTTTAGTGAAATTAATGTCAATTTGTAGTTGTTATTTTTTATCAGCGGGGTAAACCTGATTTGGCAGGTTAGCCGGGCAGGCTGGGCTAGCCGGGAAGGCCTGCCCGACCTGCCCGGCTAGCCCGGCCTGCCCGACTAGCCCGGCTAGCCCAGCCTGCCCGACTAGCCAAGCCTGCCCAGCTAGCCCGGCCTGCCCAACCTGCCCGGCCTGCCCGACTAGCCCAGCCTGCCCGGCTAGCCTAACTAGCCCGGCCTGCCCGGCTAGCCCGGCCTGCCCGACTAGCCCAGCCCGCCCGGCTAGCCTGACTAGCCCGGCCTGCCCAGCTAGCCCGGCCTGCCCGGCTTGCCCGGCCTGCCCGACTAGCCCGGCCTGCCCGGCTAGCCCGGCCTGCCCGACTAGCCCGGCCTGCCCGGCTAGCCCAGCCTGCCCGGCTAGCCCAGCCTGCCCGACCTGCCCGGCTAGCCCGACCTGCCCGGCTAGCCCAGCCTGCCCGGCAAGCCCAGCCTGCCCGACTAGCCCGGCCTGCCTAGCTAGCCCGGCCTGCCCAACCTGCCCAGCCTGCCCGACTAGCCCAGCCTGCCCGGCTAGCCCGACTAGCCCGGCCTGCCCAGCTAGCCCGGCCTGCCCAGCTAGCCCGGCCTGCCCGACCTGCCTGGCTAGCCCAGCCTGCCCGACCTGCCCGGCTAGCCCAGCCTGCCCGGCCTGCCCGACCTGCCCGGCTAGCCCGGCCTGCCCGTCCTGCCCGGCCTGCATGGATTATAAAAACTCGTCTTTTTTAAACTTACAGGCATTCGGGCTGCTTAAATTATTGGACGCTGCTGGTGTCTTTTCTTCTGGTACTCTTCTATGGGCCAAACTTTCCTCTTCTATGGTCTAGCTCTGTAAAATATCATCCAATTAAGGCTAATTAGGTATTCTTAGATCAGATATATTTAAAAATGTGAAGAGGGTAAACTCTTAAAGTTTTCACCCCGACTAAGGCGCGTTTAGTGAAATTAACGTCAATTTGTAGTTGTTATTTTTTTATCAGCGGGGTAAACCTGATTTGGCAGGTTAGCCGGGCAGGCTGGGCTAGCCGGGAAGGCCTGCCCGACCTGCCCGGCTAGCCCGGCCTGCCCGACTAGCCCAGCCTGCCCGGCTAGCCCGGCCTGCCCGACTAGCCCGGCCTGCCCAGCTAGCCCAGCCTGCCCGACTAGCCAAGCCTGCCCGACTAGCCAAGCCTGCCCAGCTAGCCCGGCCTGCCCAACCTGCCCGGCCTGCCCGACTAGCCCAGCCTGCCCGGCTAGCCTGACTAGCCCGGCCTGCCCGGCTAGCCCGGACTGCCCGACTAGCCCGGCCTGCCCGGCTAGCCTGACTAGCCCGGCCTGCCCAGCTAGCCCGGCCTGCCCGACCTGCCCGGCCGGCCCGGCCTGCCCGGCCTGCCCGGCTAGCCCGGCCTGCCCGGCTAGCCCGGCCTGCCCGGCTAGCCCGGCCTGCCCGGCTAGCCCGGCCTGCCCGGCTAGCCCGGCCTGCCCGGCCTGCCCAGCCTGCCCGTCTAGCCCGGCCTGCCCAGCCTGCCCGGCTAGCCCAGCCTGCCCGGCTAGCCCAGCCTGCCCGGCTTGCCCAGCCTGCCAGGCTAGCCCAGCCTGCCCGACTAGCCCGACCTGCCCGGCTAGCCCGGCCTGCCCAACCTGCCCGGCCTGCCCGACTAGCCCAGCTAGCCCGACTAGCCCGGCCTGCCCGGCTAGCCCAGCTAGCCCGACTAGCCCGGCCTGCCCGGCTAGCCCGACCTGCCCGGCTAGCCCAGCCTGCCCGACCTGCCCGGCCTGCCCGACCTGCCCGGCTAGCCCGGCCTGCCCGTCCTGCCCGGCTAGCCCAGTCTGCCCAGCCTGCCCGGCTAGCCCGGCGTGCCCGGCATGCCCGGCTAGCCCGGCATGCTCGGCTAGCCCGGCCTGCCCAGCTAGCCCGGCCTGCCCAGCTAGCCCGGCCTGCCCGACCTGCCCGGCTAGCCCAGCCTGCCCGGCTAGCCCGGCATGCCCGGCTAGCCCGGCATGCTTAGCTAGCCCGGCCTGCCCGGCTAGCCCGGACTGCCCAACCTGCCCGACTAGCCCAGCCTGCCCGGCTAGCCCAGCCTGCCCAGCTAGCCCAGCCTGCCCAACTTGCCCGGCCTGCCCGACTAGCCCAGCCTGCCCAGCTAGCCCGACTAGCCCGGCCTGCCCAGCTAGCCCGGCCTACCCGACCTGCCCGGCTAGCCCGACCTGCCCGGCCTGCCCGACTAGCCCGGCTAGCCCAGCCTGCCCGACCTGCCCGGCTAGCCCGGCCTGCCCGACCTGCCCGGCTAGCCCAGCCTGCCCGACTAGCCTTACCTGCCCAGCTAGCCCGGCCTGCCCAACCTGCCCGGCCTTCCCGACTTGCCCAGCCTGCCCGGCTAGCCCGACTAGCCCGGCCTGCCCAGCGAGCCTGGCCTGACCGACCTGCCCGGCTAGCCCAGCCTGCCCAACCTGCCAGGCTAGCCCGACCTGCCTGGCCTGCCCGGCCTGCCCGGCTAGCCCGGCCTGCCCGACCTGCCCGGCTAGCCCAGCCTGCCCGACTAGCCCGACCTGCCCGACTAGCCCAGCCTGCCCGGCTAGCCCGACTAGCCCGGCCTGCCCGGCCTGCCCGGCCTGACCGACTAGCCCGGCCTGCCCGACTAGCCCGGCCTGCCTGACTAGCCCGGCCTGCCCGACTAGCCCGGCCTGCCCGACCTGCCCGGCTAGCCCAGCCTGCCCGACCTGCCCGACTAGCCCGGCCTGCCCGACCTTCCCGGCCTGCCCGACATGCCCGGCCTGACCGACTAGCCCGGCCTGCCCGACTAGCCCGGCCTGCCCGACTAGCCCGACCTGCCCGGCCTGCCCGACTAGCCCGGCTAGCCCAGCCTGCCCGACCTGCCCGGCTAGCCCGGCCAGCCCGACTAGCCCGGCCTGCCCGGCTAGCCCAGCCTGCCCGACTAGCCCGGCCTGCCCGGCTTGCCCGGCTAGCCCGACCTGCCCGGCTAGCCCGACCTGCCCGGCTAGCCCGGCCTGCCCGGCTAGCCCGACCTGCCCGGCTAGCCCGACCTGCCCGGCTAGCCCGGCCTGCCCGGCTAGCCCGACCTGCCCGACCTGCCTGGCCTGCCCGACTAGCCCGGCCTGCCCAGCTAGCCCACAGCCTGCCCGGCTGATCTAAAAAGGTAAAGTAAAGATGAGGTATGGAAATTGGTTAAAACAAAAAATATTATGACACAATATTGCAATAAAACCATATATTATATTTTTCAGACTTAAATCAAGATTTAATTAATCAAAAAATTCATTAGCGAGATCATTTTTAAAAATTTTACTATCATAATTATTTGAGCCCGCGGCTGGAGTGGTTCTTTTCCCTTTCACGTGCCGCTCCCTCAAACACACAGCAAGGGATGATCCGTGGAGAGGCCACTTGACAGAGGCAAAAGTGTCGCGTGTGTTCTACATGAATGTACGTGCTCCTCTCTTTTCTCTTTCGGGGCCGAAGTGCGCCATCGAGAGGGGCCGTCGGCGCTTTTGTCTTTGCACGGCCGGCCTGCGACAGCGGATGCACGCACGCAATTAAGCGCGCGCGCAGGAAGAGCGAATTCAAGCGGCGCTCGCTCGCTCGCTCGCGGATGCTGCACGTTTGAGTTGCAAAGCAAAGCGCACTTTCATGCACACACTCTTGTGACTAATTGCTTCAACCTGCGTGCGACGGAAGAAAATTTTAGCTCATGAACCCATTGTTAGCGGCCTTCTAATTGCTATCCGCTTACCTCCCTCAATTCAAATAATGCACTATCATCATAGTACAGTATTTTGCCAAGTTGGTTCTAATTTTTACAACGCATTTTTATATTTTCCCATTATATTTATTTTAACTCATAAAGCGCATATTATTAAAAAGACAGAAAAGTATTATGAAAAAGAAATTATTGACCGAGAAGAATAAATAATAATAATATTAAAAAACTTGAAAGAATTAATATTTATTTAAAAATCATATCTTTAAAACTCAACATTTTAGGTGTTTCAAATGTAAATTGCATGCAATATGCAATCAAATTTTTTTTCACATATTTTATTCATAATTTGGATTTAGACACACAATTTTGTTTTAAAAAAAAGAGGTAAAGTACTAAATT